AGTGAATGGGTGCCGTCAGAATGAGAGTCCAAACAGCTGATAAAAACATCACATTAATCAGCAAGTAATCCGCATGACTTAAATTCGTCAATTAATGTCTTGTGAAGCGAAACACTGTGTGTTTGTAATAAATAAGTCTATCAAGACATATTTAACTTCCAGTGACAAGTCCTCTATCCATAATATTGCTTTCTACGGTGAAAAGAAATTCTGATTAATAAGAGAAATATGCACAGATCAAGCACAGTTTACAAGCGAAAACAGTCCAAAACAGCTCTAAAAAAATATGTCAGTGGATTTTGATGTGGGGATGATGTGGAGGAAGTCTTATTATGGATTCTAATGCCTTGATGGATTTGTTCCTTACAAACACACAGCTTTTCAGTTCACAAGATGTTAATTGATGGACTGGAGTGGTGTGGATTACTTGTGGATTATTGTAATGTTTTTAGCAGCTGTTTGGACTCTCATTCTGACGGCACCCATTCACTGCAGAGGATCCATTGTTGAGCAAGTAATGTAATGCTAAATTTCTCCAAATATGTTCAGATGAAGAAACAAACTCATTTACATATTGGATGGCCTGAGGGTGAGTGAATTCATACATACATATTGTCTGTGATAATAGACAACATACCTCAAATGTAGCAATTAATATCAAAGTCCACCACACTGCACAGTGATGGATATAAAGGGGCCTCCATTTGTTCAGCTTTCTTAACATGCCTTTATTTTGTGCATGCCTATTAAGGTTCCTTTTGTACACTAAGCCCTTATCTGTTCCTTTCTTTTTAGGGCCATGAAGAGACCACGCTGTGGCGTCCCAGACAAGTTTGGGGGTCAGATCAAGACCAATGTACGACGGAAACGTTATGCACTCACTGGCCACAAGTGGGACAAGAACCACATAACTTTCAGGTGGGTTTGGATCTGACTCTTCAGTCCACATTATTCCAGTGATTTTGATTGTAATCGTAACACTGTTCTTCTCGTGTCTGCCATGGCTGCAGTATTCAGAACTACACGCCTAAGATCGGGGAGTATAACTCATATGAGGCCATCCGACGGGCCTTCAAAGTGTGGGAGAAAGTGACACCGCTGACATTTGATGAGATCCCTTTCCATGAGGTCAAATACGGCCGTCGGAAGGAACCTGATATCATGATCTTCTTCGCATCTGGTTTTCATGGTGACAGTTCCCCGTTTGACGGAGAGGGGGGCTTTCTGGCACATGCTTATTTCCCTGGTCCAGGGATGGGTGGAGATACTCACTTTGACTCAGACGAGCCTTGGACCATTGGTTCAGAAAACCTACAAGGTGAGTCAAAAGGACTCATTTAGGTTTTATATTGTGTAATATCTAATATGCATATATGTAAAATTATGTTAATACACTGAAACTCCATTTTTTTTTGCAAGAAAGAAGTCTCTTATATTCACCAAGGCTGCATTTATTTGATCAAAAGTAGAGTAGAACAGCAATATTGAGAAATATTAATACAATTTTAAAATGGGATTTTTATTTTATTTTATTTTATACCAGTGATAGCAAAGCCTTATTTTCAGCATCATTACTCCAGTCTTCAGTGTAACATGATCCTTCAAAAATCATTCTAATATGGTGATTTAGTTCTCAAACATTTCTTATTATTAGTACTGCTTAATATTTTTTTTGAAAACTGAGAATGTCTGGCAACATCTGTATCTCTGTTTCGTAGACCCTCGTGAATCTTTCTGTGTGTCTTTCTAATGATTAAAGAACAGCAATATTGAGAAATATTAATACAATTTTAAAATGGGATTTTTATTTTATTTTATTTTATACCAGTGATAGCAAAGCCTTATTTTCAGCATCATTACTCCAGTCTTCAGTGTAACATGATCCTTCAAAAATCATTCTAATATGGTGATTTAGTTCTCAAACATTTCTTATTATTAGTACTGCTTAATATTTTTTTAGAAAACTGAGAATGTCTGGCAACATCTGTATCTCTCAATTTCGTAGACCCTCGTGAATCTTTCTGTGTGTCTTTCTAATGATTAAACCTGTCAACCCAAGTTATTCTGCCAAATCTACAGCAAACAAAAAAGAAAAAGGTCAAATTTGCAAGCCCACCTTTTGTGTTCCTTCTGAATGTATTAGCTGTTGTGAGGTTTTCATGGTCCTGTGGAAGCGGGTGTCATCATTTGAGACAGATGAGTGACTATGTGAGCAGCATGTTGATTTATTTAGAGGGTCAGACATTCCTAGAGACTCTTTTGCACTTTGCAGTAGAGAACTGTGAAGTATGTGATAAACAATAAGATACAGTGTGGTCCAAAGTATGAAAACACATAGACCTGATGGTTTAGGATTCTGAAAAAGAAAAAAAAAACGCAAATGAAACTTTGTGATATTGACCATTTGAACCTAGTTCGGATCTGATTTAGAACATTGACCTTCTCAGATATTAACCCAAGATCTTACATTGACAGCTAATCAGAATGCACCTCAAAGGGCTCAAGCATTTAAACCGGCAGTCAACAAAACTGCAGTGCTTGCTTATAATAAACAGAATGCCATTTCAGCATTCGACGGGGTTTGACTAGAACTGATGGTGTTAAATACATTAAAAAAACCTGAGCTGACAGACACCAAACAATGGCCTGACACTCCCCAAGAGTCAGTCTGGTGTGTCAAGGCCTTAAGATGGGAAGTTGCTGTAATACGGCTCCTGATTTTTAAAGTAACTTGGAAAGACCTCTTTGTCTATAAAAGGGTTAAAGGTTAATCATGGGATGTCTAGTTTTTCAAACGCTTTAATGAAACATTACAACATGACACATTTGATTGATTACCGACACACTGACTGCAACTTTCACTGAGGAAACACATAATGCAACTTCAAAAGGAATCTCTAGGATTTTGCAGAGTCTATTTCCATAGTTTTGTAACGTCTGGCTACAGGATCATCATTGTTAGCAACAGTTGAAGTCTCGGTCACAATGACACAGCTGTGAGGAGAGATGTCTCCTATTGCCCTGAAGTTGCATCTTTTAACAGTCGTGGCTCTCACACAAGAGCAGCTTTGAATGACGAGTGTGTTTGTCTGTGAAAGCCGTCATTGATTGAACTGTCGGAAAGCATTAGGACAGCAAGTTCAGTACTTCTCTTATCCGCACAGTTATTAGTCCTAATGATGTTGCCTGTCTGAAAAAAACTCTGAACAAGCAACATTACTGTCTGATGACTTCATACGGCCTGCATGGATGGTTTGGATTGTCCACACTAGATAATAATGGATATCTTGAGTATTAAAAGAAAGCAGTCAATCAAAGTTGGTATGAAAGCAATTCAGCCTAGTTTGTGAACCAATATTGATAAAGAATTTGCCTGTTAAAGTATAATAATGCATTTCCCATTGTTGCCTTCAGTGAACATAATAGGGAGAGATGGATGGGGATCAAACTCAGCTGTGGATCAAACAGTCTAAGCTGAATGTAAAACAGAATTAAAGTCAAAATGAAGCATTATTTGCAAACCCATTTTACTTCTGTAAAGTGATGCATTTAGTGAAAGTTCAATGAGGGAAACATATAGGGCAGGACTTGACTGGATTGTTGTAAGTGATCCATATCATACATGATCCATAATACAGTTAGCAGTCAATTTTCCTTCCTTAATCACCTGCCAGCACTCATAGGTTGAAACTTAAGCAGTTTTAGTGACGTCAGCCAAAAAGGAAAGTTTGGATTGTAGATCACAAAGACAAACATGTTTCTTTGGAATAGCGTGCACAGATTAACAGTTTAGATCAGGAAGATGCATCAAGATAAAAAAAGAGTTCCTTTTGATTTCATGCCACTTTAAAGTGCACATCATCTCAGCACTAAGCAAGAACTAACAGCGGGAACCCTTTTCCCAACTCCCCCTAAAACGCTCCACACTCTCCTCTTCACTCATATGTCCTATTTACCCAGTCATCTAAATATAGCTGCGCTTCTTTATCTTCTGCAAGACCAGTAGCGATTTTGTTTAATGTGCGCACTTAACTCCAGCAAATGTAATGTTCTAGTTGATACGCAGTATATCATGTGTCCTTAAGTCAGAGTGGCCATAAAATGCAGCTGTGATCTCCCAGAGCGAATGAAGATTAATAAGCTGTTGTATCAGACATTCTTTACTAGTGACCTCAGTAAATCAGCTCATTGCTGACCATCAGCTCTCTCTAATACCACAGCCTGTGATATTTAATATGTGTCTCCCCGTAGGCAATGATCTGTTCCTGGTTGCCGTACATGAGCTGGGCCATGCCCTTGGACTGGAACACTCCAATAATCCTTTGGCTATTATGGCTCCTTTCTACCAGTGGATGGACACTGAAAACTTTGAGCTGCCTGAGGATGATCTACGTGGGGTTCAGCAGATTTATGGTAACGTGATGATTGTGATGTCTTAAACATGGCATTTCTGATTTTGCAGCATATTATCTCTGATCTATGGAAGCAGATTTCCACCTCAGAATAATAATTAAAAAAAAGTAATTCGGACTTTTTATCTCACAATTATGACTTTATCTTGTAATTCTGAATTTCTATTTCAAATTCTGAATATTTCATGAAAATCTGCAAGGTATAAACTTGAAATTCTGAGAATAAAAGTCAGCAATGTGAGATATAAAAAAGTAAATTGTCATATGTCTAAGTACTTTTTGTATTTCTTGGTGCAAACAAGCTGTATTTCTTAGAATTGCAAGTTTATATCTCACAATTCAATACTTTTTTTTCACAATTCTGACTCATATAAACTTGCAAAAAAATTACATAAAAAAATAAAATAAAATAAAATGTAAATGCAACCTTGCAAAATGCAAAAAGTCTGAATTGTGAGAAATAAAAATTGCGAGGGGGAAAAAGTCAATTATGAAAGAAGTCAAATACTGTTTTTTATATCTTTTTTTTTGTTATAATTGCAAGTTTATAAGTTCATAAGATTTTGTACAAGTCAGAATTGTGAAAATAAGCATTCATACTGATCAAGTGTGCAGTTTAAAACAGAATAAGTGTTTAGTTGAAGTTATTGCATAGTGCATTAGACAATGTGCAACATTTGTTCAGGTCTGGTGCATTTAATTTTCTGGATCCTGTTATGTGTTGTTCTCCTTATCATCTGCCTGTGAGTAAGAAGTGCAGAAAATGTTTATAGGCACTTTATAGATTTACAGCTTTAGCTGGCTGTTAGTTTCCTGGTTCAGTATGGACCAGAGTTATTATAAACATGTGGTGTTGTAAATTTTGTTTGTTTAAGTGCTATTCAAGCTTATGGTGTAAGGTTTCTAATATTTGTTTTTGCGTTAAGCTGGTTTACTTTGCATTTGACCAGGTCATGTTTCTTTGAAACTTTGTGGTCTTTGTGGACTTTAGTAATGTTTGTTTTAGTTTTGCATGAGGGAGTTTCAGCTGTGGGGAGAAGTGCATGCATCATTCCCACTTTAGAAGAAAGTTATTTTGGTTATGTAATGGCAAATTCATAAATCATTTAACTTATTTTGCAAGTTTGCGAAGGCCAGCATCACTATTATTGCTCATACATTACAAATTGAAGAAAATATTTTCTATTTTGCATACAAAAAATGAAACCTAGTTTTAGGACCATTAGGATTTCAAGTTTTGTGAATTTGTTTTCATGACAAATAACAACATCCCCCCCCCCCGTAACGGTTACTATTTTTTCCCCATTAATTCTCATTGTTGTCTCTCTACATTATCATTACGCATTGCATTAATTAATGACTGTAATACTGTAATATTTTTTATTGAAATCTAAATAAAGACAGTACAACAAATACTACCATGTTGTTTAAAAATGGTACAAATATTGCTAGAAATATCAATTTACCAATACCAATAATACAGAAATACCAATACCAATTTAAATCTACATAAAGAAGGTACAACAAATACTACCGTTTTGTGTATAAATGGTAGAAATAATGGTACAAATATTATAATTAAAATAAATATTAAAATTAAAAAATATTTATTTATGACAATTGTAATAGGAAATAATGTCAAATTATTAATGGTCAGCAAATAGGCTTCATTTATTTTGATCAAAATATATGTTCTTATTTTATAGGATGAAATGTGACCTGTTCTGTTTTGTAAAATTCGCATAAAATCTAGTTCTCCATATTATATTTATCATAGACTGAACTAAGATGTTGCCACAATGCTATTCTATTATTTATACAAATGCTGTAAGTAATTTGAGTTTGTTTGTTTCTTGTAGGACCCCCTAGCAGTTCTCCGACTCAGGCTCTCCCCACTGTGACCCCCCGGCGACCAGCCCATCCAGACCCCAGGGCACCCCATCCTCCGAAGAACCCTCCCGGAGCGCCCCCTCGCCGGCCGGACAGGCCTCGCACTACCGATCGCCCAGATCACTATGGCCCCAACATCTGCGAGGGCAATTTTGACACAGTCACTATGCTCAGGGGAGAAATGTTTGTTTTTAAGGTGAGCTAAAGACCCTACACATCCGCAAACTTTCTCTGCATTATGGCAATGAGAATTACATTTCTCATTTTTGCTTCATAGTAATAAAATCGCTAAAAAGTCAAAGTCTTTATGCAAAATAGAATTTCATTTTTCCCCATTGGATTTTGGATGCAATGTGTCCCAGGCACGTTTTTGACAGGCTTCATGAGATTCACTCAGCCGCTGTAGTGCTTTCTGAATCCGATCAGCTCAAGCGCTGAAACAATAACAGTGCACGGTTCCAGGTGAAAGCCCTGACATGCAGGTGGAGGCCCGCTGAGACCGGCCTGCTCTCAATCAGGCTTTGTTAGGCAATGGGCCGTAAAAACCCCAGTGCTGGTCTTTGTTACGGGGCAGAGCTCCATAAAGAGGAAAGGAGTCATGTATTTAAAGTCTGGAGTTGATCAGGAGATACATCAGACTTCATCTGCTTTGTGCCGTTTGCGGTTTAGTGGTCGTGTCACGTGATTTGTTCCTGCATGAAAGAAGTCTCTCTATGGCAGAGTGTCTTTAATTCCTCTCTCTTTTTATCTGGAACAACACTGTCCACATCATATGATCTTTCACTTTCTTTCCATTAGATGAAAAAGGCTTTAGTCTTGCTGTTGGAGAAATTAGAAGGAATGTACAGTATCTGAAAGCACAAAAAGATGTTTGTTCTTGGAAATGCTTGACAACACATCCAACACTAAATTCTCATGAGGTAATTTAGCAAATATGTCAGTGCCAGAGTTAACTTTACTGCAGATAGATATCTAGGGACCAAAAGAGCATGGATACTTGCGGGTGGGATGTTTTGACTAATGCATAAAATGCAGTGGTGGAAAGAGTACTGAAAAAATATACTCAAGTAAAAGTACCATTACCTTCCAAAAAATGTAGTGTGAGTAGAGTAAAAGTACTTGTCCAAAAAACTACTTGAGTAAGAGTAAAAGAGTAGCCTATTTAAAAGTACTCATGAGTATTGAGTAGTGAGTACTGAGCTGTGGATTCTACCCCCTCATAATAAACGCTGTACACCGCAATTGATACATTTTAAAAACGTTGTACATTCTGTAATTCACATGATCTTGTTTGTCATAAAGAATGAAGAGTATCTATCATCCAGCAGTTTTAATTTTGACTGTCAAT